AGGAGGAGGGGTTTCTTCCAACCAGTGAGCTGCCGTGGGAGCGGGACCCTGGGTGCCCAGGTGCCTTCTGTCCCCAGCAGATATGGGAATGAAGCCCACGTCCGCTCTGCTGCCAGGGTTTTAGTCCCTGTCCCAGCCCATGCCAGGGGCCTGGCAGTGCGCTGTGAATACTGCATGAGAAGCACTTCGTTTGCTGCTGGTCACCACCCCCACATCATGGCAACACCAGCACAGTCACTTTGGCAAAGAAACTCACCTGTCCTGTGTCAGGCACCCGCACCGCAGCTCTGCCTCCCTGCCCCGGGCACAGCAGGCTGGCGGGGCACTGAAACCAAGGAGGCAGCAGCCAAGTGGGCTGGTGGTGCTGCTATGCTGGCTCCAAGGCTCAGCAGCATGCTGGGTTGCCCCCCACCAAAACCCCAGCTTTTCCTCATCTCCTGGGGGACAATATTGACCTTCCTAATGCTTTGGCTCTTGTCACTAGTTCAACGCCAGCCCCCAGACCCGGTCCCACCTGAGGTTGGTGCACTGCTTGGAGGTATTGACAAGGACACGGAGCTCAGAGCCAACGTCCAGCCTGCTGCCTCTGATGGTCACTCGGGTTCCTCCAGCCTTCGGGCCACTCAGGGGAGCTATGGACTGCACCATGGGAAGCTGAAAACAAAGGGGAAATGTGTTTTCTAGCCTGGTAAATTCACAGTTGCATACTCCACAGTGCACACGGGAATTGCTTCAGTAAATTTAAGTATACAATATTGTGAGGCTCTGAAACAGCAGCACAGCAAAAGCTTTTGCTGGCAGGGTTTCAGAACAAGGGGAGAGGTACAAGTGCAGAGGAGCGAGATCATATGAAACCTCTGTGATTCTCTGCAGTCCCTAAATTCTGGCAGTAAATGAGACATGAGTCCAAACTGGATTCCAGAATCCCACCAGTCCCTTGAGATTTCCAATGGAAGGTCCAGAGCTGGCAACAGCTCAAAGTCCCTCAAGAAAAGGAAATTTCTCATTCATTCCAGCTCCCACCATCTCTGCCCTTCCAGACCTATTTCCTCCTGAATACAAAGATAATGCTAAAGCCCCGCTGGGTGATGGCCTCGAGATCTGTGAAAACAGCCACCTGGGTGTGGATAACTGGATATCAAACTCCTTCTTAAGGAAGCTTCAAATCTGAATCTCTTGAGGCGACAGGAACTAAGGAGGAAGTTACTTTGCCTCTCGACATTTTCAGCAGAAATTAGTATGTATGTTATCTGCATTTGCAGCCTCTGGAAATCTTCCTGAGATTCATGAGCTTGAGGCTTTGATAACTAATGCAGCACTGAACCCTCGTGTCTGCTTCACAGAGCAACCCAGGAGAGTCTGCCGGGCAACTTCCCTGCCCCGGTTTGGATAGAACACCAAGGGCAGAGCAAATAATTATTCCAAGACCTTTCCATAAGGCATTTTTGGTAATTCCTTGTCAAACACCACAAACCCTGGAGGCAGGAGACCCGTGGGGCTGCGGAAGTTGGCTGAAGCTGGCTCACCACTGCAGCCCGTCCCTCGCCGCAGCCGCAGAACAGAACCGCGCTGGGGTGGACTGAAGAACGTGTGCTAAGCTGCTTCTCACCGCCTTGGGCTAATGCCCTTCCCTGTCAATCCCAGCCACACAAACAAGCTATCCTTGCCCTTGTCCTGCGCTCAGACGGCTTTATTCCTCTACAGCCATTTCCCCTGTTGTTTCTGATCATGACCCATTTCCACAGGATTTGTTCTGTTAACTTGTATTTCCCCGAGTGTCTGCAGGTGGCTGTCTCCTGCCCTTCGCCCCTAACCTATGCATTCAAATGTGCCGTTACAACAACAGCAGAGAGAATTACTCATGTTCCCCAAAGCCCTCCAGCTCTTCCCCTCAGTGGCTCCTGCTCTCAGGGCACTGCCAGCACTGGTGCCTCTATCGCAACTTCTGCAAATTCAGCTCATCCATAGCCTGCTATAATGTCCTGGAGAAGTCTCCATCACATTTCTCCCTCCCCCTCAGCTCAATTCTGTCTCTTTTAGATATATCTATCAGGGGCTTTGTGTGTAGCACACAAACAATATTTGTTATTTTACAAAGGACCTTCTTGGGAAGGACAGTTCTAAGATTCTTTTAAACTTTTCCAGGTAAACTGCTGCCAGTGCTCAAGCTCAGGTCTCACCAGGACCAGTCTTGCACAGTGTAGTCTACTCCATCTTCATGCCATCATATGTGAGAGAAGAATCAATAAAACTAAAGAGCATTGCTTAGTTTGTAAATGGTGTGGAACACACCACCAGCTACAAATCATGCAGCTGCACTCCCCAACACAGGCATGCACAAAGCAGGGTACTCTCCCATCACTCCTCCAAGCTTTGCTGAGATAAACAGACACCAGACAGCTTTCTGCTATGCCACCCAAGCAGAAAATGGCTCCTCTCCCACTTTGGGAGGACAGCCTTCTCCTTAGGTCTGCCCAGGAGCTGCCAGCACAGAGCTGCCACAGACCCATTTTGAGTTCAGTGACTGGCTTTTGCTCCTCTTGCTTTGTTTAGCGCTGGTGCTTTTACAGGTGTTTCCTGAGGGGGCTTTTCCTTGTGCATTGAAAGCTGGCAAAGAAGCTGCCCAGCCCTTTCCCACTCTTCAGGCTCTTCTCCTCTTTTGTCAACCAGACAATTGCCCCAGCAGCGGGTGATGTGTCCAAGTCAGCACACACATCCCAATGGCAATGTGCCAGAAATCCCAAACCCATGGTCCATTACTGGGTTGTTTCCCCGTGGCACCTCGCTCTGCTTCAGTCTGCTGGATCTCTAAGACATTTTGGATGTGGACATGGGTGTCTGGAAATGATGGGAATGGGTCCCAAAGCAACATCCTCCTGGGAACCACCACTGAGCCAAGCCGAGCAGTGCCCTCACCTCACCTCACCTCACCTCACCGGTCCCCTCCTGGTGCACTGCCAGGCCTGGCTCTGCCACGAGCACTGCTGTGTAAACCTCCCTGAACGAAACACCTCACACACCATCGGCTGCAGGGTGGGGAATTACACTCCATGATCCTGCCCTAAATTCCTCACAATGGGTACCAGGAATAAAATGTCTTTTCCTGGGGCTCAAGGCTTCTTTCAAGCCACCACTCTGCAGTATGGTTTATTCTTCCCCAGCTACAGCAACAGAAGCAGCACAAAGACTTGAGTAAACAGCATGCCCTTGGCACCCAGTCCACGCAGGACTGCCCGTGAACAGCGACTGGCCAGAGACGAGGGTGCTTGTAGGAAAGAGAAGAGCTGCATGGATTTCTTTCAGGTTTATAGAGATGAAAGTTATCTTTGTGAGATGGTACAGTGCAGAACTATAAAGGGCTTTTCTTTGTATGATGACACAGGGTTAGCTCAAGTCTAATCCCTACACATTATTCTCATGCAAAAACTAAGACAATCTCTGCAGCAGAAAATACCAGTTTGAAATCATGTGAGTCCATGGTACATAACTTGTATAGCACAAAGAATCTCAAAAAAACCTCACAGGTTGTAATGGCAGTTTAGCAAAAGAGGAGGAAGAAAAATGAGCTCCTTTTTATAGCAGGAGAAACAGTGATACAGCCAGCATGAGTGATAAACCACCCCAGGAGGTGAGATGGGAGCAGGGCTGTGCCTGTCGACAGCCTGGCTGCAGTCCTGCCGCTGCGCTCAAGCCTGGATTCGCCAGACCGAGCTCAGGTAATCACAGGAGAGGAGACGGGTCAGCGGCTCCTCAAGGACCCCGACATCTTTTGTTGTGGATCCTCTTTCTAAGCCAGCTGGAGGTGTGGGGCTGTGGGATTGTTTAAGGGGTGCAGGAATCACCAAAGAAACATCCCAGAGGCAGCTACTCACCACGTAGGAGTACCGCTCCCTGGACCTCCCTTCCCGGCTCACGTTAACCGTCACCACGTCAGAAAACGCCTCCTGAGCCTCTCCGGTCTGGCATACGATCCTGTGGGCAGGAAAGAGGAGGTTGGCAGTCATGCGGATGGCAGAGGGGCAGAGCTCTTGGCCTCCTCCTCCTCCATGCTCTGCTGGTGGAAACGGGGTGAGTGATGGGGACGGGAGGGACAGGCACGGGCAGAGGACACAGTGGGGACAGGGACCTCCTCCCTGGCTCCTCCAGCACTCACGCCTCTGAGACGAGGTATCTGTCAGGCAGTGGAGCACACTGCACACTGCCAATCCTGACGGCACCGAGGACATCGCTGAAGCGGCGGCCCAGGGTCCTCCCACGGATGGTCAGCAGTGTTCCCCCTTCCAGCGGACCACGCAGCGGCTCGATCTGTGGCACCAAGGGAGAGATTGAAGGAGAACCACCAGGAAGCTCTGTGCCTTCATCCCTGAGCCTCCGCCTGCATCCACCTGCCGCTTGGCCCCCATGAAGAAGATGGAACTGCTTCTCATGCCCTTGCTCACCCCACAGTGTGCCCGCCACCACGCTCTCCTTGCTGCAGCTTTGCAGTTGAGAAGTCATCGCGTTTCTGTGCTGGGTTTGGTCTGGGATTACTCCAGATGCAAACACATCTGGGGTGAAACATCACTCCTTCCACACCATAGCTTCAAATGGAGTTGGGGCAGAGACAAACCCAGAGGAGGGATGCTAATGTGCTGGGAAGAGAGAGTCCTGCCATCACGTTTTTAAGGACTGTCCCGAACACAGCAGGGGCCTTCCAGACAAAAATAAGACAAAGTGTCCTGATGTGTGGAGCGTGGCCAAGACACCAGCACTGTGGCACCCCGGAGTGCAGGATGAGCCCAGCACCATGGGAGGATAAGGCCATTCTCCATCCATCCATCCCCTATGCCACTGTTTTTTCACCTGGCAGCTGCCAACCCCACTGCTGCAAGGGGACAGGGTGCTGGGTGTGATGAGGGGCATCCCTGGGCAGTGTGACTGCACTATTTAGCAGGTGAGACAAATCCCACCAATTCAGAAATGGCTCTTTTCCCTTGGCAAAGGCAATGGCACACAAAGCCAGCCCAACGTGCCTGGTGGCATCAGTTGGTGAAGCTGGGCAGGGCTGGTCAGGACCCACCACCAGGCTCAGTGCCCGCCTTCCCCTGCTGCATTGATCCCCTCTAGGAGGGCTCTGCGAGGGCTTGCTGCTCGCGTGACTCCAGAGGATTTGGATTTCCCAGCTTCTATTTGCTAAGGAAACAGCAACAGAGTCCTGTGACGCTCTGCGACCTGAACTGTGGTTTCCTCCCATTATTTGTTGGTGAGGTGCTGATAACACTTGATGTGAATGGGGGAAGGACAGGCTCATGGGGGATGACCTCTCCCATGGTGACAAGATGGAAGAGGCAGGCAATGGGGATCCTGCAGTCTCTCCACACAGTGTTACAGCACCCAGATTTGGAGCAGCTATTGCTACATGCCTCCCTAAGAAGAGAAAGCCCATATCCTTGCTGGCTTTGATGTCCACATTAGCTGTTTCGCCTCTCCAACTTCTCCTTCCCTAGGGAGCTCATTTTAAGATTTGCTCTAAGCAAAACCCCAGATCCAAAAGCTCCCAAAAAACATTCATTCAACTACAATTTAAATAAAACTCATTTCAAAATGCATAATGCCAAGAGGTCCTTCTGCCAGTCTTAATCTCAGCAGAACTGCAGAGCATGTGCCTGGAGATGGGGCTCAGGTTCACATTTCAGCTATGCTCCATTAAACACTATTTCTGATGAGAATCCTTCAGCCGACCCTACAAATCCTCCTCACTTTTACCAACCCAAAGAACTCTGGGGCATTCTGATTGTGCTGCTGTTGTTTTTCCTACTAACATGATGAAGACTGGATCTTGTCACTAGCAAGATGTCCGTGGCATCAGGTGACTCAAGCAGCATAGAAAGTCAGTGAGTAATTCAGCGCTGGTCTTGACCCTGTCCAGTGCTAGGGACAAGGCATGGTTCCTCCTTTGCCCTCAGGCAGTTCTAGCCCCCCACACCACCCGCCACGCCACACGTGCCCTCCACGCTGTGTTTGGGTCTTACCTTCTTGATCTCTGGAGCTGGGCAGACGTCTGAGACGTGGGGGAACTCGGTGTGCAGCCTGCAGCTGGAGCTGCTCTCACTCCAGACACAGCGGTGCCCCAGGTCCTCCCTCCCCAGGCACTGAGAGCAGTCGGCACTCCCAGTCGCACAGTTGTACACCTCCACTAAACCACCAGAGACAAGAGAACATGTCAGCTCCTGGGCCTGAGACTTCCACAGCTTTGCTTAGCTCGAGGCAGTCAAACACCCCCCAGCCCCCTCACCCCCGGTTACATTAATCCAAGTAACATCTGAAACCCAGTGGATGAGCAGAGCAGCTTGCACATGCAGCACGATGAGGCAGCGCTTGGCTGCCATCCTGAAGATTTCCCAGAAGGACTGGGTGCTCGTTCTCACTGCAATGTAATTTAGCACTTTCTTTTCCTTTTTCTTCTCCTTGAAAAACAAACAACACTCAAACTCAGAACCTTTCGTCAATTTATGCTACACATTTCCAACTCTCAGCATCCACATGGGAAGCTGCTTTGCAGAGCTGGCTCCATCCTGTTAGCAAAGCAATCACATTGCTTCCACACTGACAAAAATCGGATGATTACAGTGCTTTGTACAGTGTTTACAGTTGCTTTCCTTCCCCCTGGTGACCATGGGCCCCTTTCATTGACTTCTCCCTTCAGATCTGCTCAGCTCAGCTTCCACATCATTTTCCTACGCTGCTTTCACCTCTTCATTAGCTGGTGCCCTAGGTTACGTTTCCTTTCCAGCCTAAAGACTTCTGCTGCTGGAGTGTGGGTATCCGCTGAGATAAACAGCCAGAAACACTCAGGAAACATTGCTTTCACACCCTTTTCCCCAGAGGAGACTTTGCAGGAGAACATAATACAAAGAAACAGTCACATCTTGCACTTCTGTTCACAGGAGGATCTCAAGGTGCTTCATAAACAATTTTAATGAACACCTCAGTCTTCAATGATCTACTCTGCTCATACTAACAAAGAATCATCAGCACCAAGGGAGTCTCCCATTCTCCACAAAAAAAATGAGCTTATTTCACTTCATCTTGATTCCACCCAGTAAGCTACACTGGTTGGTTTTCCATCCAGCAGCAAAGAGCTGGGATTCCTTCAGTGCACTACCAAAACACAGTTTACAATAAAAGCTAACAAATATTGAAACAATAAACAAACACTAATAACAGTAATTCCATTAAAGACAGTAAAAAAAGATGCACACATTTATAATTGGCCTGGCAGATCTCTGTCTCTGCTTGCAAGTCAGCCTCTCTAATTCTACTCGCACCAATCTGATCAAGGCGAGGAGGAGCCAGAGCAGTCGAACGGTCTCACAGGATCTCCAAATACTCTGGTAAATTCAGATGGATGCAAACACAGTCTGTGTAAGCCAGCTCTTTCTCTGCACAGGAGGGGATTCTATG